AGCACCATTAATTATTAATAATTTTCTTTTTTTTTTCTATCAAACCTCATATGATACTATCTAATATTTAAATTTTAAAATCAAAACCATTTACGAAAAATTTTCAAACAATTTGGAATACTGTTAGTATATTAATACTCATAATAGTTAAAATTAGTTAAACTATAAGTTAAATCTAGTAACTTACTAGTTTACAATTGTAATCAGACATAAATATGTTAAAAATTTAAATTTTACATATCTAAGTTTAATTGTTAGATATTAGGAAAAATATAAAAATATAATATAAACAAATTCATACTCTATGAGGAATCTAAATTAATATATATGATATAATTTATAATATTTACGTGTACGGGATTATGAATTAATTCTTATGGTAACATCAATGTCTCATACAATATGTAATTTAGTGAATTTAATTTAATGAGTTAAGTCTAAATTAATTCAATGAATGACAGGAATTAATAGTTAGTTGTTTAACTATTATCGTTGAAAATAAATAACAATTGAATTTTTTGAAATAAAATCTCAAATTTATTGTAAACGTGAAGCTTTAGTGGAACGTTGCGATGTAGGAATTTTATCCGACCATAGGCTTAACATTATAGGACTATTGTGATTTAGAAGCGTTATGAGAACCTCATGTATTGTGTAGTACTAAATGATTGCAAGTATTGGATATGTGATTCTGTGTGAGAGAGAACATGAGGAGAAAGTTTGAGGTGAAGAAATCTGAATTGGAAGTTTTTTTTTTGAGCATTTTCGTATTTTATTCCTTTTTCTTTTTTTTCTTTTTCTTTTTTTTTTTCTTTCTTTCTGTAATTGAATTTTGTGGGTTTCATACAATTTTGATAAAATAAGTTGCACAAAAGTGTTTTATACTTGATACCGAGCCTTGAGCGAGTGTCTTAAAGAAAAGAGAGTATACACGCGTATACTTTTTTGGGATATTTGAGTCGTGTGAATAATAAACATACGTATTGTTTTGTCCGTAAAAGTCATTTTTTTCAAATAACAACGTTTAACGTTTCACATCGTGTCAGAACAAGAGACGGGCTTAATATTTAAAGACAAATATTATAGAATATTTATGATTATTTATGTTGAACACCACAATCGGTACGAATGGATTTAGATTTAGTTCTGTCGAAAACAATAAGATATTCAATTGACGTTGAAGTGACCGTTTTAGAACAGGTAACGATTTTAGCATACAGTTATTTTTGCATATTGACGTGTTTTTATGAATCATTAAATATTTTATAATATACTTTGTACCTACTGTGTGTGTGTGTGTGTGTTTGTGAGAAAGATGCTCAAGATTTTCGTATCGAGACTTTATGTAGATGGTAAATATTTCGAATCCAAGACTGACGTCTGGAAATGTAACTAGTTTAAGTTGACTTTAAAAATAACTGTAACAGAGCAAGAAAACATTTCTAAAGTTTTCATAATTTATTGTACTTTTGTTAAACGACTAAAAATATCGTCTAGGTATAAAAAAATGTTTTCCGAGTAAAATCAATTACGTTTACTGTATACAATTATAAATTATATAGGGTATCTCAAAAAGAACTCAGGACTTTAATCTGCTATAAATTAAATTAATTTATTTTAAAAAAACATAACAAATATATCATTTTATTTATGATAGTCATATGCCCGATATTGTTTTTCACGGTTAAACCTTAACTTCTCCTGAAGAGAATGATATATTTGTTATGGTTTTTTAAAATAAATCAATTTAATTTATAGCAGATTTAAATCCTGCGCTCTTTTTTAAACACCCTATATTAACGTTTATGTTTAACGTACATAGTTGAGTGACAATTAAACGAAGACTGAATTGAGTTTTTAACAATTGAGTAAATTTTTTTCTGAAATTATTATTTAAATCAGTTTTGCGAGGTAAATTCATAGGATATAGATAATTGGCAAATTCTAATGTTGTTCCGAGAATGGAATTATCATTAAAAATATCCATAGGGTTAGAAAATTAAATAATCCTAGAATTATACGTAAAATATGTGTGCGAGATGGATGATTAAATTTGAAAGGAAGTTTCATTGGGAAATAAGCGTTTGAGTGATAAATTCATTACCTATGGGGATGATATAATGATGAATATATATCTTATTAGTTATAAGTTTGGCAGAAAATTCTTGACTTCGTCTTAATCATTAGTAAAAATAGCCAAACTTCATTTGAGGGCTTTAAGATGAAACGGTTAGTTTAATTCTCAGAATTCTTTTCAGAATCATCCGAAGTAAACTTTTTCTCGGGTGTGAGCACATTCTACGTTCATCATAATAATGTGACGTTTTTGGTCCACGGGTTGGTTTTTGCTTTTAAACCAATAGCAAAATATAATAAACTGTTTTATTTTTTGGCTGACGAGTATTTGGTTAAATTATTTTTCAAATATACGTGTTCGTATATATGTATTTTATTGTGATTTACGATTATTTTTAATGATGTGCCAATATTTCAGACAAGATAAATATCGTTTGGTTTCCATTACAGTATATTTATTTTTTTATTTTTTTTAGTACTTAATACTTTTGTTCGTAATTCGATATTTTGCTTGTTTTTATGGTAGTTGAATAATGAAGGTGAATAGTGAATAATTTTATTTTTCCAAAGTAGAATTTATGATCGTCTAACGTAGATGCATTTTGATGACGAGACAACAATGTCGAAAAATATTTGAAAGATTTTGAGAGGAGTTAGCTGATAAATGAATAACCATAGGAACGTGATTGGATAAACTGTTATTAATTTGTTACACGTCCTATATAATAATGTTTTTGAGATATTAGTGTTCTACAATTGGTATTGATATCGATTTTCTTAATGAATTATACCCTGAAGAAGGAAAATATAATATAGGCTCTTATCTCTCAGATGATTATGACTGATTAAGCTATTTTTTTCAGATTCAGAATTTATGTTTACTTATTTTTCATTGTAAATTCACCATCACTTAATTTATACATTTCATCTTGGAAAGTAAGTGCCAAATATATCATTGGTCAGAATTTAACATCAAAAAATTAATTATCTAATAATTAATAGCACAGATTAAATATTAACTGAAAGTGTTCATCTAATATTTTTTACCGATTCTTATTATTTTCATCGTTGTCTGATGCATCGCGTGAGTAGCGGAAATTGTAACGTTTTTACTGCAGTGTGTATTAATTTTTAAATGTCAATTTGTAAGTCAGTCAAAGAGTGATTTATTTATGTGTTACGTATATTATTTTCATTCGGTCCATTTCTTATATACGTTAAGGGAAAAAGCTTTTAACTGTAGAAAACTGCGAGTGCATTCCTATATTTTTTTTTTGTTTTTGTGATGATTTTTACCTGCATATGAGAAGAAACGAAATATATTATAACGTAATGTAACTAAGACGATGTTAAACACGCATATAGCGAAAAACAACCGGCGCAAGAGTAATACAAATCAATACATATAAATAAACATAACATGTTTAAGCCAAAATATCTAACCGTGACGAATAGTCCAGCTGAAGTGGCGCAATGATTTTCCTATTTAATATTTTACTAAAAATTACTTAATGTTGAACGTTGATTAACCATTTGATAAGATATTGTTACATAATATACGAATATTATAATACCAGTTAACGTAATACGACCGTTATTATTATTTTTCTTTTCGTCATCAATATGTTAGGATTAGAAATAGCTTCAACATGTGACTGCGATACATAGGCGTGTCCAGACCTTTGTGGCAGGGTGGGCCAAGTCACTGTTAAATTAGGATCAAGAGCAAATTTATAATTGATAGTAGTTAGGTCAGGTTATTGTATTCAAGTTCATAAAATAACATAATTAATTACAATATTAAAATAACATAATTTACAGTAATTAAAATAATATTACAATTCATAATTCCATTCTTCTTTCACTAAGAGTTAATGTTTTAAATAGCTCAATTACATCATCGACCTTGATGTTGTATGCCAACTCTTGTTCGATGAACATTGTTAAAAGGCCATCTAAACGATTTTGTATCATTGTACTCCGCAACTTTGTTTTAATTATGTAGAATTTTGAAAATGTTCTTTCACAGGTACAACTAGTCACAGGAATAGTAACAAATATTTTCAGTAATTTGAAAAAATTAAAAAAGTTAGTTTCTCTTCCACTACTTGGTTCTGACAGCCATTGAATCCATTTTTCATTATTAAGGTTTTCATCATTTGGTATATCAGCAGTATGTTTTAGTAGTTAAATTTCGGTTTTTAGTGCATTACTGTCAACATCAAAAGTGTCTTTTAACAAATTAATATTTTCATTATTAATTTGAAGAATCAATAAACTAGCAACAGTTTGAATTATATCAATTGTTTTTGATTAAACCTGATATTTAAAGCAACAATCATATTGTCTAAAGTATTATAATAAACTTTTCTCATTTCATCTCCTTTCGTATTAAATATATGTTGTGTGTGACTTGAGCTATCTATATTTGTAGAAAATCTTTTATGTCTCGTAACTGAAATATCAATTTTATTATCATCACAAAATTTGACAGAATTTTTGTATAAATTATCAAAATATGAATTGTTGTTTCTCATTGAATTGAGTGATTTTTTTAAAGCTTCGACAAGATGCATTTCCGTAAACAAATTTACATCAGGTGATTGTAAATATGAACTGGTTTTCAATATTAAAGAAAGGATGGGATCTAGCATTTCGTATGTCTGATTGGCTAGTAGAATTAGTTATTTCATTAATCGCAATCAAAAGAGAAGAGTAGTTAGCTTTTACCGCACTTAAAGCTTCAGAGCGGCATGCCCATCTAGTGGTTGATACAGACTTCAACGTTTTAAGTTTTGCATTTGTAGAATTAATTATTTTTTCAAAAACTGCATGGTGTACACAACTTCCTTCAACAAAGTTATATATTAACTGTATGTACCCAAAAAAGGTCAAATGTAATTCTATTGTCTCTCCCAATAGAGTCAACAAGAACTAAATTTAGGCAATGGCCATAACAATGTACAAAATATAGTTTTTGATTTTTTTTCTTTAAATTTAGCCTGTACACCTGTGGTATTTCCCGAAATAGTTGAAGCGACATCAAAGCAAACCGAAACTAAATTTTCCCATTTTATGTTATACTCATGAATAGTATCACTCAATACATTAAAAATATTTTCAGCATTGACTGAGGTAATTCGTTTCATACAAATAAACTGTTCATATGGACATGTTTTTTGTGTGTCAAAATATCGTACCACTATAGACAGCTGCTCGTGGTGACCACAGTCGCTTGTTTCATCGGCTATTGTTGATACTTTTTTATTGGCAATTGTACTCTGCAATAGTCTTTTCATTACTAAGTTAACTGATTGTATAATGTCATTTTGAATACGATTACTTGTATAAAAAGCGTTCTGGGGTCCGGATATAAAATGCTGGTCAAAAACTGGATCATACATTCGCAAAAACCTAACAATGTCCAGAAATAGTCCTTTGTGAAAATCATTAGTTTTTTCAGTATGCCCACGAAATGGTTTACCACCAACGCCCAAACAAAGTACAATATCTATTAATTTCTTCATTGTTTCTCTATTTTTCAGTCGATTTATTTCCTTTTGACTGCGTATATCTTCTCTTTGTTGATCTAAAATGACATCTATTGATTTTGAATTGGGATTCAAAAAAGTTTTTAATGATGTAGTACTATTGAGGTGACATTTTGATCGTTGGTGAACATTAAACTTTTCTGTAGCTGCTTTCCAATTTGTAAGCCCAGTTTTTGAAAAAACCATTTCAAACTGTCCAGCATTGAGCCCAATTGAACCACAAAACATTCGACAAGGAAAAAAATAAACAGCATCCTTTTTAGGACTATTTTATGTTTTTAACCGAGTTGTACGTATTTATTATAATTTGATAGGTGGTCAGATTCAGGTTTCATTTTTATTTTCAATTTTTAAAATGGAAGCATAAAATTCTAGTGGAAAATTGAGGTTGTTGGTGGCCCCTAAGACTACGATAGGAGACCCTTTTACCGAGGCATTGCTCCTGCGGTTGTTGTAGCACTGCTCACAGGGTAGGCCATGGCCCACCCGGCCCACCCCGTGCGCACGCCTATGCTGCGATACATTAATTGAAAATATTCAATTCAATTTTTTACTTCCCAACCGTACACGAACAACTGGCAATTTTTTTTTTCTTCTTAAATACTTATAATAACAATGGAGTTTATTAATAATTTTAACATAAGATAAGACGTTACAGAAATTCAATTAACGATATGTTATTATCCTCCTACATAAAATTAAACGTGTTGTGTTACACTGAAAAAGCCATAATAAATAACAGAAAAATTAGGTGACACAACTCTACGCAAAATGCCCTGTTTGAACCTTTAATTTGAAATGGTCTGTATTGAATGATCAAAAATAAAACAAAAGTAACAAAATACATGATACGATTTTTGATAGTAATGAATAACTTAGATAAGGGAAATTATTCAATACATCGCTAAAAAAAGTTCCAACATTGTAAAATGTATAAGGGTACGTTAATATATGAGTCGTCCAGTTGCAAAAGGTAGTATGTCCATATTTTAGTTGCAAAAGGGAATATGTCCAATTTTAAATATAAATTTTTTAAAAAACTACTTATCCACGATTTCTAGAGTCTAAAAACAGTAAAATGTTTTTTTTTTATATATATTTATGAAAAAAAAAATGGTGACGTTTTATAAAATATTAATGGAAATATCAGTTTTTTGCTGTTTGTGAAAACTTTATTTGTTTGGACATACTACCTTTTGCAACTGGACGACTCATATGGTCTTTAGTAATGATATAAGGTAATTTTAAGCAAAAATGTGTAATCAACTTCATTAATCAAACCTTAATTTTTTTTTTTATTCATTTTTTTTTATTAATTACGTCATAATAATATATATTGAATGATCATTTGATCAGTAAAGTCAAACCACGTGTAAAATATAGATGTAAAGTACAAGCAAAAATAATGAAACAATATCGAATCAAATACCTAATATAGTTTACGGTTTAGTTTGATTTATTAAAATATGATGTAAAATTTACAACAATTGTTAATCCGAGTGTACGTTGCATGTTTAGTTTTTCAGACAAATTTTGTTGAAAAATATATATTATTTTTGTACCTATGCAATTTTTCAATACAAAAACACTTATGACATTTATTACCTAAATGAAAACATTCATATTTTAAACAACAATAGATTTAACACGCAAAACATCGATTTATTGCTTTATATTTATTTTGCTCGAAATAATTCGTACGTTTAGTGTGACGATATTGTGATATTTTGGGTGGGAAGGGAAGCATCACAATATATTAGCAAACTTTCATCTTGCATGCTATGTATACTTGCATGTTATATCCATCAATGTATTAAAAATGAGAGAGAACACGTTGTACTTATTAGTTTCTTTCGTGTACAACACGAGACTTACTTATTGTTTACGTTTAAGAAAAATGATACCGAAAATGGATCAAAATAGTAAACTTCGATAGTTATGTTTAAAAACCTGAGTGTTCCAAGACTTATGCGTAATGTATTAATAATGTTCTATTTCCTCGTACCCACGACCAACAGAACACGCCTTAAAATCACAATAAATCAATAGAATTCTTTATTGTAGCTTCATCGTTTATTGTGTTTCGTGCGAATAACAAACAAATATTACAAATGCATGAACAACATTCATTATGTTTCGTTTTCCTAACGAAGCATTACATAAGTTTATATGAATAATCAAAAAATAACTCCGGAAAACTTTGTCCAACAACGCTAAACGCAATCAAAAATACGTCGAAGTGTACCTAATACATTATCAATATACCTACAAAGGTCCGAAGTTTACCGGGAAACATAACTTGAACTTTTATTGAACTTAGTACGGCGACACGTTGAACTTTGAACAATATCGTGGTCGTCGTTATCCACGGTCCATGTAACATGTACTTCGTGTTCATGTTCTTAATGTTTGGTCAATAATTTATCGGAGGTAATAACAACGGAACGAGATCGAACAAAACCATAATCGCACGTGTTTCCGTTTTATCGTTATACCCAGGGACGTTACGTGTCTTCATCTAATTGGACTCCTCTCACTGTAGTAAAAGATTTTTTTTTTGGAAAATGTAAACGGAGATATTTTCAGTGCTTTCTAATGTAGGAACCTCAAAAAAAAAGCGGAAATTCATGTGATTTGCGATTGAATAATAATAATAGTAAAAATTAAGAATGTGTTGACGTACATACGGAACGTTTATAGATATCTGCAGATAATTGCTCCAAACTAAACACAGGTATATAGAGGCAATTAATTATTTACGAGATTTGTATATACGCACGTGATACAGTAGAATCCGATAGTAACGATCTTCAAGAGAACTAGATAATCAGATCTTTCCATCAGAACTTCGATTTATCCGAATGACAAAAATAAAACACTTGAAAAACTAGATAAATATTTTGTTTCTAAATGGAAAATTATACAAGACAGATTTTATATTTATAAAAAAAAAAGGTAAGTATTATGTACATAATATCATGTTAATATAATGATGTACTTATGTGTATAATGTTTAGGAAAAAATAATTTACAGTACTGTATCTATAACTGGAATGAAACGATATCTTTACATAATTAGTATCTATAGAGATAAAATCCAAAAACCACTGGCTTATTGATCGCTGCTTCTCAAAAACTACTCAAGGTACGCACTTAAAATTTGGAATAACGGTTCCTCTAATACTTTTACCGTGCATTAAGAATTTTTCAAAAATCGCATTTTCAAGGGTCGAAACAGTTTTAGACTGGACGTATAAACTTTTTAATTATTTGGTTACCTAGAAAACATTTGATTTGCTTAATATGTTGATTTGAATTCCAGAAGAAATAATTGCAGGGAAAAGGCCTATAGGTGGAAGGAGTAGTAAAAAAATATTTAATAATCTTTTGTATATATAAAACAGTAAGCTGATTGACTGCCATCAACGCACAGTTCAAACCATTAGACGGATCTGGCTGAAATTTGGCATACAGATAGCTATTATGATGTAGACGTGCGCTAAGAAAGGATTTTTCGAAATTTTGAATTTAAAGGGTTGAAATCGGTTTAATATTTTTTGACCAGGTCGATAACTGCGCTATTGAAAATGAATTATATTAAATAAAACTATTAAAAAATTATTAAAAAACTATTATTAACGCCAAAATTGAAACTGAAAGACTAAATTACATCAAAAACAACCAATCCAAATTGCGTGCAGATTCATTTAAAAGATGCGATTTAAAAGAGCTCTTACTTCCCGGTCAAAGATCATATGATCGACATGATATAATTGCAAGAGTTTTTCGGTAAAAAGTCAAAAAGACCATGAACTTATTGACAAAAGGTAAAATATTCGGAGAAGTGAGATGCTATATGTATTCAACAGAATACCAAACTGTAGAGAGGTTCAGGTAGTTGTAAGCTATAACTTATCGAATAGGTCAGTGGTGGCCAAACTTTTTTTTCCTCGGGCCATAAAAAACAACTTTTTTTTATCGCGGGCTACAAAAAAATGCATTCTAAATTTTTTTTTACGTAAATGCAAAATATTACAGTTATACAAATAATTGCTGTAATATAGAAGACTTTCGCGGGCCAGATATTAAATGATGGCGGGCCGGAGTTGGCCCGCGGGCCGTAGTTTGGCCACCACTGGAATAGGTTATGATAATAATCATTATCTTAAAAACTAAATTAATATGTATAAAATATTATTTCAAAAATTTTAATTAATTTAAATTTCAATAGATTTAACAAAATTTAATCTTGGCAGGTTACATATATTTATATACTTAAACCCGGCAACGACGGGTAATTCAGCTAGTGATCTATGAAAATTTGAAAGAAGATATGAATGATAGGGGTCGATGGAATAGAATAGTGGTGGAAACGATGGACCTAATGGTTCGCTAAACTGAAGAATTTTGATTTTAATAATCACTGATTAAAAATATTTATAAAAATTATTAAACAGTATAAATCAATAAAATCAATAACAATAACATTCGAATATACAAATATTTTATGCTTTTATCAAACTTACATTTTTAGGTTAGGGTCAGTTTTCTAATATAAAATAATAAAATATCCCCTGGGAAAGGGGATAATTCAACTTTATAAAAATTAATGTTTATTTGTATGTCCAATAAGCCTTCCTAAACTACTCGATACGTTCGACGTTTATATCCACTGGACTCTGAAATCACTAAACCGATTTTAATGGAATTTGGTACTGAGTTGGATTAGACCTTAGAGAAGGACATAGTCTACCTTTTGTTACAAATAAAGGTAAAGAAAAGCATCTGTCTATCTGATAAGGTCCAAACGAGCAGTTTTTGTTTGAATATTGCTATAACTGCTGAAAAAACGGAAAGTAACCTCACTGTCACACACCTGAGTGTGTACCAAGAAAATGGTGAATGTGTCTATTTCATTGAAAATAATTCTTCTCATCCTAAAGCAACACTCGCCTATTCTTTTTGATCTCTGTACCAGATATTAATTTGCAAGAACTTTTCTGTATATTGGAATGCAAATGTATTAAATTTACAACGTAATCCAACTGAATTTTTAAGTTCACTTAATTTGTCAGACATGCCGGTACACGTTCTAACATTAAAAATTGGAGTGCTCTAGTTCTTTTATTCCCTAATTCTTTAGAATTATTTTATGAAACATCAATCCACCACCCATCTGAAATTGTACCAGGCTTTCAGTGAAAAATTTAACCCACGAGATTGTGTTA